CACCCTACTTGGGGAGAACAGCTCTCTCCTTCCTCCCAGGGGAGGCCATAGCAGCCTCCTAGAGCTCTGGGGGCAGTTTGGTGTCAAGCCCGGGCCACCCCGCAATGGCTCTAATCCAGCCAGCATTGCCCCCAAACACTGCCTAGACCAACCTCCTCCAGCCCCTCAGCGCCGGCCAGAGGAGTCGTCCCAGATTGGCTCTAGCTTCTAGGATCCTGTATGCCGGGCTTTGCCGCTTGAGCCGGGCTCCTGGAGAGCAGTGCAGGCTTCTTGCTCCTCTCCCCTCTCTGCCTGGCCCTCGCTGACCTGCTGTCATGGTCAGAGGAGACCAGTGTGGTCAGCCAGTCTGACTTCCTGTATGACACGGGCCAGAGATCTGCCCCACAATAATTTCTGGAGCAGAGCTTTTCGAAAAACAGCCAGTCTTGATTTAAAAATCACTAGTGATGGAGAATCCACTATGCCCCTTGGTAAATTGTTCCCAGGGTTAATTACTCTCTCGGTTAAAGTATTCCTTGTTTCCAGTCTGAATTTGTCTAGTTTCAACTTTCAGCCATTGGCTCATGTTAGAGCTTTCTCTGCTAGATTGAAGAACCCATTACTAAGTATTTATTCCCATGTAGGTACTTTAATCAAGTCATCTCTTAACTTTCTCTTTAAGCTAAATAGATTGAGCTCCTTGACTATCAGTATAAGGCATCCTAATTCTGTAATCATTCCTGTGTCTCTTCTCTGAATCCCCTCCAATTTATCAACATCTTTTTTGAATTGTGAGCACCAGAACTGGACACAGGATTCTAGCAGCAGCCACACCAGTGCCAAATAGAGGTAAAATAACCTCTCTACCATTTATGCATCCCAGAATTGTGTTAGACCTTTTGGCCACAGTATCACTCAGAGAGCTCATGTTCAGCTGATTAGCTACCACAACCCCCAAATCCTTTTCAGAGTCACTGCTTCCCAGGATAGTCTCTCCCATCCTGTAAGTACGGCTTGCATTCTTTGTTCCCAAATGTGTGCATTTAGCCATATGAAAACACATATTGTTTGTGGCATCCAGTTTACCAAGAGGTCTAGATTGCTCTGCATGAATGACCTGTCCTCTTCATTATTTACTGCTCCCTTAATTTTTGTGTCATCTGCAAATTTTTATTAGTGTCACTAATAAACACGTTAAATAGCACAGGGCTAAGAACCAATCCCTGCAGGACCCCTCTGGAAACACACTCAGTGACTCTTCCCCATTTACAGTTACATTGTGGGATCTATCAGTTAGCCAGTTTTTAATACGTTTAATGTGCGCCAGGTTAATTTTATGTAATTCTAGTTTTTGAATCTAAATGTTGTGTGGTACCAACTCAAACACCTTACAGCAGTCTAAGTATATTACTTCAACACTATTACATTTATCAACCAAACTTGTAATCTCATCAAAAAAAAATATCAAGTTAGTAGGACAGGATCTCTTTTTCCATAGAATTGCATTAATTATATTACCCTCTTTCAGTTCATTATTGATTGAGTCCTATATCAGTTGCTCCATTATCTTGCCTGGGATCAATATAGGTCCATCAGCCTGACAGTTACCTGGGTCATCCTGTTTACCCTTTTTTAAAGTTGGCACATTAGCTTTCTTCTGGAACTTCCCAGTGTGCCAAGACTTATTTAAAAAAAAAAAAAAAAAAACCAACATGAATGATCCAGTGAGCTCCTAGGCCAGCTCTTTTAAAACTCTTTGATGCCCATTCTCTGGACCAGCTGATTTAAAAGTGCCTTGTTTTAGAGCTTCTTTTTAATATCCTCCAGAGATACTTGCAGAAAGGAAAGCGTGTTATCACCGTATGATGAGACTGCATGATCTCCCCCTCCCCCCCATATAGAACAGAAATATATATTGAACACTTCTGCCTTTTTTGCATTAATATTGATAATTCTACAATTTCCATCTAGTAATAGACCAATACCATTGTCAGGATTCTTTTTGTTCCTAATATATTTTTAAAACTCCTTATTGTTCTTAACTCTGCTGGCCATAGATTTTTGCTTGTGTTCTTGGACTTCCTGTATCAATTTTCTACAATTTCTCACTTCTGATTTATATTCATTACTATCAACTTCCCCCTTCTTCCCTTTGTTATATGTTACAGCTGCCTTCACTTCCCCTCTAAACCTGGTTGGGTTTTTTTAAACCAGCACAGCCTTCTTCCTCTAGTGTGGCTTTTGGGGCATCTAGTAAGGTGTTCTTAAATGATTCTCAATCATCATTCACACTTTTCAGGTTAAATTCTTCCTCACAGCTGATTTGGCCCATAATCATTTTCAGCTTTGTGAAATTGGCCTTGTAAAACACCAAGTATATCTATTACTGGTCTGGACTTTATTCTGTTTGTACATTATAAATGGGATCAAGTCATGATAATTTGTACCTAAGCTACCATTAACTTTTAGCTCTGCGATCAGTTCCCCTTTAGCTGTTAGGATAAGATATCATGTAGAATTACCCCATGTTGGCTGCAACAGCTCCTTTCCCTCCCTTTCAGGCCTCCTGGTGTGTCCTGCCTTCTCGAGTTCTCCTAGTCCTGACCTCTCAGAAAGGCATCCAGGTAAGAGTGCTTCCTTTTCTAGGCTCTGGGAAAGGAGTGGGTGGGGCCTGTGGTGGAGAGCTGTGTGTGAACAAGGCCAGCCTCCTGAACTGCAGGAAGGTCAATGGAGGCATGTCATAGGGCATGACTGCCCCATAGTACTCTCTGCTGGGGAAGTCTGGCTCTGCAGGCACTTCCTGCCTCAGTTTCCCTTCACCCAGGATTTCCTGTCTCTCCCAGGTTTCACATGGCTCAGGCCTCCAGCTGAGTCATTCTCACAGTGCAGTCCCCTTCCAGGGTAATAAAAGTCCCAAACAAATTTTTTTTTTCCACCCCACTTGGGCCCCTCTTCAGCCCAGCCTCCAGCCTCAGTTCCCTGTCCCTTCTGAGTTTCTCTAATCTCTCTGTTCTGAGATGGAGCACTGCTTCCCTGCACTCCTTCCTTGGGAACACAGCTTGCACTTGCCTGTCAATCGGCTATTAAACTGTGTTCTCGCTGCCCTTTCATAAGGCTCAGGTGTTTCAGGCTGTCAGCCCGAGCAGTCCAGCCATCTTAGGCTGGGAGACAAGTCATTATGGCCCCGGCCCGGTGTGCTGGAGCTATGGGTGTGGCCCCTGGCTGGAAGCGATAATAGCAACCAAACGCCTAGCTCCCATCACGTATGGGGTTATAGTGTTGTTTGATGGCTTTCAGCACTGCCCCTGTAAAAACGGTTCCCATGCCCTGCACAGATGCGGCTGGTTGAACAGGGCTGGCTAGCCCCAGGCCTCTTGGCCCATCTTGGCAGCTACCTGTTACAAGGTGCCTTCTGGAGGTCCTTGTGTCCGGGACTTTGAGGGCCCCAGGTCACAGGGGTGCCTCCCCCCTCTCTGGAAATCTTTGTGGGGGCAGCACTCAGGGTTTCTCCTGATGGCTTCAGGCTCATCGACCCCACCCAGAAGTGACTCTGCAATGAGCTGACCAGGTGTTTTCACTCCCCAGATGTACGAGTCAGACGGCTCCATCATGGTTTATTGGCATGCCCTGGATGTCTTGGAACCACCGCCAGGTAAAGAGAGATCCCAGCTGGGGGCAGTTCTGCAGCGGGAGCCTAGGGAGGAGGGCTCTGCAGAGCCAACAACTGCCCTGGAAGGGCAGGCTGAACCATGGGCATGGATTGTGTGTGGCACAGTTTGACTCCCTCCACCCCAGGAGCCAATAGCCTGTAGGGGGCTCTGGCCCAGGGAGCCAGCAGAAGGGAGGATGTTGGTTTTATTTAGGAATTAATTCCAGGATGTCTATTGCCCATTGTGACGGTGCTGCCTGTGGGAGCCAGCTGAGGTCACTCAGTCAGGGTGAACTGCAAACAAAACGGGGCAGACAAACCCCAAACGCGGGTGGATATTCCAATATTTAGATTTACCAACCAGCACAAAACAGCCTCTGTATTACCTCACTGGTTACTCAGAAGTCCAAACAACGCAGTTCCCTTAAAGTACCCAGCCTCAGGCCTCCGTCCAGACACACCTGTCAAACATATGATGAAGATTACTGAAAATCTTATCTCATCATAGAAAAGAAAAGGTTCTTCCAATCCCAAAGGATCAGCCACATACCCAGGTTCAATTACAACTTAGATCTTACCCAAAATACACACTATAGTCAATTCTTATTAACTAAACTAAAATTTGTTAAAAAAGAAAAGAGTGTTGGTTAAATGATCAATATACAGACTGACTTGAATTCAATTCTTGAGATCCAGATACATAGCAGAGGTGAGCTTGTAGTTGCCAAAAGTCCTTTAGAACATAAGAACGGCCGTACTGGGTCAGACCAAAGGTCCATCTAGCCCAGTATCCTGTCTACTGACAGTGGCCAATGCCAGGTGCCCCAGAGGGAGTGAACCTAACAGGTAATGATCAAGTGATCTCTCTCCTGCCATCCATCTCCACCCTCTGACAAACAGAGGCTAGGGACACCATTCCTTACCCATCCTGGCTAATAGCCATTAATGGACTTAACCTCCATGAATTTATCCAGTTCTCTTTTAAACGCTGTTATAGTCCTAGCCTTCACAACCTCCTCAGGTAAGGAGTTCCACAAGTTGACGAAGAAGAAGAACTTCCTTTTATTTGTTTTAAACCTGCTGCCTATTAATTTCATTTGGTGACCCCTAGTTCTTGTATTATGGGAATAAGTAAATAACTTTTCCTTATCTACTTTCTCCACATCACTCATAATTTTATATACCTTTATCATATCCCCCCTTAGTCTCCTCTTTTCCAAGCTGAAGAGTCCTAGCCTCTTTAATCTCTCCTCATATGGGACCCTCTCCAAACCCCTAATCATTTTAGTTGCCCTTCTCTGAACCTTTTCTAGTGCCAGTATATCTTTTTTGAGATGAGGAGACCACATCTATACGGAGTATTCAAGATGTGGGCATACCATTGATTTATATAAGGGCAATAATATATTCTCCGTCTTATTCTCTATCCCCTTTTTAATGATTCCTAACATCCTGTTTGCTTTTTTGACCGCCTCTGCACACTGCGTGGACATCTTCAGAGAACTATCCACGATGACTCCAAGATGTTTTTCCTGATTCGTTGTAGCTAAATTAGCCATCATATTGTGTGTATAGTTGGGGTTATTTTTTCCAATGTGCATTACTTTACATTTATCCACATTAAATTTCATTTGCCGTTTTGTTGCCCAATCACTTAGTTTTGTGAGATCTTTTTGAAGTTCTTCACAGTCTGCTTTGGTCTTAACTATCTTGAGCAGTTTAGTATCATCTGCCAACTTTGCCACCTCACTTTTTACCCCTTTCTCCAGATCATTTATGAATAAGTTGAATAGGATTGGTCCTAGGACTGACCCTTGTGGAACACCACTAGTTACCCCTCTCCATTCTGAGAATTTACCATTAATTCCTAACCTTTGTTCCCGGTCTTTTAACCAGTTCTCAATCCATGAAAGGACCTTCCCTTTTATCCCATGACAACTTAATTTACCTAAGAGCCTTTGGTGAGGGACCTTGTCAAAGGCTTTCTGGAAATCTAAGTACACTGGCTCCCCCTTGTCCACATGTTTGTTGACCCCTTCAAAGAACTCTAATAGATTAGTAAGACACGATTTCCCTTCAGAGAAACCATGTTGACTTTTGCCCAACAATTTATATTCTTCTATGTGTCTGACAATTTTATTCTTTACTATTGTTTCAACTAATTTGCCCGATACCGACGTTAGACTTACCGGTCTGTAATTGCCGGGATCACCTCTAGAGCCCTTTTTAAATATTGGCGTTACATTAGCTATCTTCCAGTCGTTGGGTACAGAAGCCGATTTAAAGGACATGTTACAAACCCTAGTTAATAGTTCCGCAATTTCACATTTGAGTTCTTTCAGAACTCTTGGGTGAATGCCATCTGGCCCTGGTGACTTGTTAATGTTAAGTTTATCTATTAATTCCAAAACCTCCTCTAATGACACTTCAATCTGTGACAGTTCCTCAGATTTGTCACCTACAAAAAACGGCTCCATGGGTTATAGTCCAATGTCCATATTCAGGGTGGCTCCAGTCAATGACTGGGGATCTCAATCCTTGTGGCTTAAGGTTTCGCCCTCTTGAAACCCAAAGCAGATCTGAGATGAAGTAGGATCATGTCCCAAGGTTCTTATACATTTCCAGAAGCCTTTCGGCCTGAGAAAACAATAGGCCTAACTCTCCTTCTTCCAAACATCCTGGCAATTAGCACAGGGTAATTTATCCATTAAACAGTTCAGCTACAGGTTACCACAACCTTCAAAGAGACATAGAGACAATAATACTATTTTCCCTCAAGTATCATCATAAATGTTAATATTCCTTTTTTGATCTTTGAATTAAAACTATCGCAATAGACAAGCCGTGTTTGCTTACATCACAAGCCCTGAGCAAACCTCTACCCTTTTACCTCTAACAATGCAGACTTGCATTTCAAAGCTCTATTCATTTACCTGTCTTACTAGCCAGTCTCTAAAGTTCACCCATAGGTCAGGTCAGTCTGTGAGTTAATTAACTCTTTCTGGCCCTGTCACCTTCCTATGAAATATTATATTACACTCATAACGTCACACCCATGTCGTGCAGGAGGTCAGACAAGGTGACCCCAATGTTCCCTTCTGGCTAGACAATCTGTAGTTTCTCAGTGATCTGGCCTTAAATCAGGGTGTCTGGGTCCCTCACACCTTGTGGCCCTGACTTTCAAAGTGTCCCCTTGTGGCCTGGGGTCTCCATTGAGCTCTGGGGTAGGAGCTGCTGCAGGGGTGTAATGGGCCGTCCGTTTCCTTCCAGCCCAGGCAGTGTTTGCTCGAGGGATCGCTGCTGCCAGTGGGCGCTTCATCTGTGTGGGTGAGTGGGGTAGGGAAACGGGAGGCTGGGGGACGGAGTGAGGGGAAGATTAGTCTATGTACAGGTGCAGCAACTGGGAACCTGATCTTCTGCATGGTAGGGCTGAGGCCATGGGCAGGGGAGGAGAGGTCTGGGATAGCGGGGAAACAGAGGGCCTGCATACAGCAGCTGGGTGATGGGGCTGGGCGGTGGATGTGCTGCACTAGGCACATTTGGGCCCAGGAGGATGGGAGTGGAGTGTGCGGGTAACAGGAAGAAGGGTCTAGTCAGACTCCTGGAGCTGGAGGAGTTATTGAGGTGAGGGCTGGGGAGAGGGTGAGGACTGGTTTGGGGTGGGGGGGGTAGAGACTGGTTCCCAGAGGTGGGAAGACCAGGAGGCTGATTCCTAGTGCAGAGTGGGGCGGGGTCCAGTAACTGGCTACCAGTGGCATCTCCCTCGCTTGTCCGCAGGGACTTCGTCGGGACTGGTGCTGGTGTTTGACATCCCCAGCAAGGGAACAAACATCACGCTGAGCGAGGTCCTGCAGGAGCATCGCGACTCCATCACTGACATCGCCTCGGAGGTCGGTGAGAACCCGGTATGGAGCCCCCGGCACTGCGCACAGCTCCTATCCCAGCCTTACAGCCGGGTTGCCAAATGCCTGAGCAGCCAGTTGGGCCCCTCCTTCCTTGGGAACTGGAAACCAGTCTGTCAGCCCTTCCTCTTTCCCATGTGTTTCCCAGTGCGGGAGACTCAGAGCTGAGGCCCCACCTGCGCTGCCTGGACACTAATGATGCCAGAGCCCTTCCTGGGAGAGCCCAGACCAAAACCTTTCGTGCCGAGGCTTTCCAGCGGCCAGGGTGGTCCTTACTGTGCACCAGAGGTCAGTAGAGACGCCTCACCCCTACCCAGACCCAGCCACCGCAAAGACAGGGCTCACTGACCCCTCCCAGGGCTGGTACAGTCCCTGCAGGATGGGTACAGTTGGTGGCTCAAACCCTACTCTCTCTTCTCCTATGCCTCTCTAGCCCATGTGGAGCAGAGGCCCTTCACCACAGCTGTCCTTCCTTGCCAGTCTCCTGCCACAGCCTTAGCTTTTTATCAATTCTGCTTCTGTTATCCTTGGGCTACCTCGTTGCCTTTTGCCCTAGGGGCTCCAGTTCAGTGCCTCTCTTGTTACACTGTGCAGGTCTTTGCTCCATGAGTGTCCGAGCCAACTCCATTTTTGTTCCATAGTTTCCTGTCCTATTCGTTTTTGTTTCGTCCTCCTCCAGAGTTCTTCGTTCGTGATTTTTTTCTGGCTATCTGATATAGAGGGTTTGTCTAAGGCAACTGAGAACTTGGAGTTTAGATAGTAAGGTCTTAATAAGTCTCCAGGTTTCAGTGCTATATTTACAATGATGTTAAATATTCAAAGTTTAGTTTGGAGGCAAGATTTCTATTTCTCCAGATCGGCCTTAGAGATACAAAGGCCCATCTGGCTCTTGCTATTCTGGCTGTAATGTCTTTGTCTGCTCCACCTGTTTTACTTACAGTGCTGCCAAGATACATGAAATATCAGACCTCTTCCATGTCAGACCCAGAAAGTGGTATAGGTGTTTCTTGTTGTGTGTTGATTCTCATAGTTGGAGTTTTCTCAGTGTTGATTTTCAACCCTGCTAATTGTGCATAGGCCTAGAGATTATTGGTTTTAGCTTGCACGTCTCTATGGGTGCGGGATAGCAAGTTGATTTCCTCTGCAAGATCAAGGTCCTCTAACTTCTGTGTGAAAGTCCATTGTCTCCCCCTTGGTTGTTCTGTGGTCTCTCATTACCCAATCCACTACCAGTAAAAAGATCACAGGAGACACAAAGCATCCTTGTCTGATGCCCGTAGTAACCTTGGTTTAGTCAGTTCACTGTCATGTATTGCCTGGCAGGTGATGTTTTCATAGAAGCTCTGAATGATGTTCACAAATTTCAGAGGCTTTCCATAGTGGCGTAGCAGCTTCCATAAACCTGTCTTCTCCGCTGTACCAAAGGCTTTTTGGAAATCCCCACAATTCATATGAAGTGGTTCTCTTCTGGCTCTGTCACCACAAGGACTCCTTGTTCTTTTTGCTGATACAGACTAGCTCGGCTACCACTCTGAAAATAGCAACTGACCAGCTCAAGACAATGAGGACATCTTAACAATAAAGACCTTGGAACAATTAAATCGATGGAGGCAGCACTTTAGTCAGCTACTTTGCCTAAGCCCAGTGAAATAGAAACTAATGGAGATATCTTATCTCCTAGAGCTGGAAGGGACCTTGAAAGGCCATCAAGTCCAGCCCCCTGCCTTCACTAGCAGGACCAAGTACTGATTTTGCCCCAGATCCCTAAGTGCCCCCCTCAAGGATTGAACTCACAACCCTGGGTTTAGCAGGCCAATGCTCAAACCACTGAGCTATCCCTCCTTCCCCCCTGTGCCAGAACCATCTCTCGGCCAGCTGTGGGCTACGAAAGCCTCCCTGGACTCAAGGCCATTTATTAGCGGGGTCGGACTGTATCCACTTCCTTAGTATCAGGGGGTAGCTGTGTTAGTCTGTATCCACAAAAACAACAAGGAGTCCGGTGGCACTTTAAAGACTAACCGATTTCTTTGGGCATAAGCTTTCGTGGGTAAAAAACCCACTTCTTCAGATGCATGGAGTGAAAGTTACAGATGCACTCCCTTAGTGTCTCTGCCTCACTATCCTTACCCAGAGCTCCTCGCCCCACCTCCCACGTTCCCACTGGGGCCGTTGTTCATCCAGAGGCGGCGGCCAGTAAAACCCTTTGGGATGAAAGCGCAAGAGACAGGTCAAATCCAGTCACCTGGCACGTGGGTGTCCCTGTGCTGCATAACACATTCTCACGCTCCTAAAGCCCAGGCCCTGCCCGCTGGAACCAAAGGAGAGTCTCCATCCGCTGCTCACAGGACGGGGGAGGTGCCACACAGCTAACAGTTCTCAGTCCGCCCACTAGAGGCCAGTGACGTGCACCAGCTCATTAGTTATTCGGAGAAGGATGGGTCAGTGTCAGTTTCCTGGGAGCTCATTGGCTGAGGGGGGTAGATTATAAAGCAACTTTCCTGCACTTCTGCGAAAGAGCGCTTTGGTGACTGGCTACTCTGTAGTATCCTTACTAATGGCTGACTTCCCCGTGCTCTGATTGGCTGAGAGGGGTCCCATGGCATGGCACTGACTGTTGCTCCTCCCATTGCAGGATGGGGCTGCTGACCTGGTGACTGCGGATGACTCTGGGGCCCTGTGTGTCTGGAGATCCAAGGAGGAGTTCTCCCTGCTCACCAAAATCTCTGCCTTTGGGTAAGGGGGGTGGGGGGCTGCCACAGCTCCTTGGGGCAGTGAGATGAGCCCAGAGACCTCCCCCTGGGCCTTGCTAGAGGGGGCCCCAGGCGAGGGGGGGAGGAGTATCTGCAGGCAGAGAGGTCGCTCTGATGCAGTGTGGACAGTGTGTTGGGGGGAAGGGGGAAGCCCATAACTCCCCCGCCCCGGTGGCGCCAGTGGGGCTGACATGTCTCCTTTGTGCCCAGGTGGACCTGCTCCTCGGTGAAGCTGTGGAACGGGGTCATTGCTGCTGGCTATGGGAATGGGCAGATCCGGCTGTACGAGGCCACGAGCGGGGCCCTGCGTGCCACGGTCAGCGCCCACGCTCGCTGGATCTACGCCCTGGACGTGGCCCCCCTGACGGGGAAGGTAAACCTGTCCAAGGCCTCCCGGCAGTCCGCCTGCCAGCCTTCTGGACACAGCTTGGCTGAGCTCCTCAGCTGCCTGCCTCAATCCTTCACTGAGGCTGGGAAGAGCTGCAGCTCCCACACTAGCCAGGAGGGGGCGCACACATACCATTGCATTCTGCCCCCCTGTGCCCCAGGCAGTGCTGCTGTCCTGCCCAGGGAGAGAGGCCCGAGCCCCAGAGCCAGTGTGCCAAGGAGTAGAACTGCCTCAGTCGCTGCATGCAGCAGGCTTCGGCAGCATCTGGTGGCACCTGTGCTGAGAGGCTCTGCTCGCTGCAGTGAGCACTGGGCCCAAGCTCAGAGGCTGACAGAGCCCCCCCGCCACCCCAGGAGAATGCAGCCCCCTCACCGCCTCTGTTCTGCCTCCCACTGCAGCTGCTGTCGGGTGCCGAGGATTCCTATGTCCAGATCTGGAAACTCAGCCGGAGCCCAGACACCGGCGACATCGAGGTGAGGGGCCAGTGCTGTGATGGCCACACGCCCCTGCAGAGAACCATGGGGCTAATGGTCTGAGCATGGGGCTGGGAGCCAGGAGCTCCTCAGTTCCAGTCCTGGCTCTGCCACTGACTCTCAGTGCAGCCGTCAGCCAGTCACTGCTCCTTTGTGCCTCAGTTTTCCCCCCGTGACATTCCACCACTGCCACAAGGGGCTGTGAGGCTGAGCTGGGGACTAGGTGCTCTAGTTGCACAACAAGGCCCAGAGGGCCCTGGGGCAAGAATAGGTGAGGGGCCTGGGCCCTCTTCCTGATTCTAAAAGCCACCCCCCTCCACCTCCCACACAGCCCCAGTCCAGCTCACCGCTGCCCCTGCCTATTCCCCTCAATCCATGCACCCCTCTAGGGCCTTTTAGCTCCCCTCCTGCCTCCCACTGTCCTGATCCACCCCCCTAGCCCTGGTTCAGAGCTCCCCACGCGGTCTCCTCCAGCTCTGCACCAACCCCTGCCCACTCCCCCATCCTCCCAGCTCTGATCCAACCCCCCCAAGCTGCCCTCCAATCCCCATCCCCCACCCTCAACAGCTCCACCCAGTTTTGATCTAGCTACCCCTCCCTCAACCCTCCCAAATTCCCCACACTTCCATGCCGCACGCAAAACAGCCAATGGTTTTACCTTGCCCTCTGTCTTGGGGGGGCTGTCTGACCCCCCTCTAGACTCCCCCACTCCCCTGCATGTCCCCCAACACTACAATTCCCCACACCTCTGCATGTCTTTGCCAGTTGCTGGTGCCAGAGGGGCCCCCATATCCCAGCCACCCTCCTGCCCCAGGGGGCCAGCTTGTCCTACTCTCCCGGCAGCCCCTCAGACGGGCCCTGGTGTGACCACACCCCTTGCACTATTCCAGTTACTCCACTGAGGTGCTTCCTCTTCCCTCCACAGGCCCTGCCCTGCTACCCTCACCCCCCAGCCTGCGCCTCTGTCAGCTCCCCTGAGCTGCTCTGTCTGCCCCACATCCTCCTCCCCACTGAAATCCCTCTGAGCCGGCTGGCTGGCAGCCTGGGGAGGGCATGCTGTGCCTCCATTTCCCTCAGCGCTGCCCCAAACCTGGGGCTGGTGTTGCAGCGAGGGAGGGGCTGGATGCTGTGGAGGGGAGAGAGACCCCGAGCGTGGTTCTTGTATCCCTGTGACATTCCAGCCCCCAACGTTCAGATGAAACACTGTGTCCCCTTGCTGCAGCCTGCAGGGGGTGCCTGCACTTGAGTCCATGCCCGTGGGGGATTCGCTGCGGGGAAGCCTGTCTAGCCCTGGGGCCCAGCTGGGCTGCGTAGTCCAAGCGCGCTCTCTCCTGCCCCCTGCAGATCGAGCACTGCCACTCGGAGTGCGTGACTGACACCCAGCTCTGCGGCGCCCGCTTCTGTGACCCTGAGGGAAACTCCTTCGCTGCAACCGGCTACGACCTCAGCGAGATCGTCCGCTATGGCCAGGTCTAGGCTGCCCCGCTGCAGGGGGGCTTTGAGCATAGGGCGTGGAGGTACCTGCAGGCACTGTGCTGCTGCAGCATGTTCCAGCCCCCCTGCTAATGGGCCGCTGCAGCTGTGACTCAGGGACTCTGTGCAGACCCCTGGCTCCCGTTGCACAGGGGCTGGGGCAGCTGCATGCAGCTGAGGATGCCCCTCACCTGGGTGGAGATCAGACAGGTGGGAGAGTAGGATCAGACAGGTGGGGGGACATGCACAAAGAAGGGGGGGCCCAGATCTCTTCAAACTTCAGAGTCCCTCTGGCCAGACGCCTGCCCACACCCCATGGCTGCTCATCTCCCCCCTCTCCTGCCTCCATGACCTTTCTTCCCTGTGGGCAGGCAGCTGCCGTGTCCTGCCTGCCACAGCTCTGTCGTGCTGGGCCCCTTGCCCAAGGCCTCTGCAGGCTGTGATTCCCCTCTGCTCCTGTATGGAGACCAGAGCCTGGAGAGGTGCAGAGCCGGGCCCCCGGGCAGGCCCTGAGTTGGGGGGTAGGGACAGTAGCTGAGGAGGTGCAG